ATACTACATTTTAAACTGTTTCTCTAGTAGATATTGATTTGTTTTTTCTTTTTGACCATATAGTACAGTGAGTGCAGTTATTTCAAATATAGTATAAGGTTTATTTTTCTTTTTCCCACAGCAATTTCTTTTGCTTAATGCTTGGGCAAAGACTAAATGACCAGCTCTTTATCCAAGTTTGAATTATTTATTTTTAAAATGGAATATTGTTCTGAAAGTTCAGAAAGCTTTTTTTTTTTTTTCAGGAAAGACACTTCAAAATATCTAACCCTGTAAAAACGGAGTAAAGCGCTTTTTTATGCAAAACCACCTTCATCAAGCCAAAAAAAGTATCAAGAAGGCTGTCGTGAAGCTTCTTAAGTGCTTCTGTGCATCAAAATAAATCTTAATGTGTAATAAAGCATTTCATACTGTATTCAAATGAACATTTCAGAATGTTTTATTGAAAAGTTTGATCAGTCAACAAAAAAGTTAATTGTGAATTTCGTCCACAGCATGGAACATGCTTGTGGAAAAGCTTGCATCTGCAGGGAACTCAGTGGAGAATAGTTACGTGTGACAGAGCCATAAAACAAACATGTCAACACGACTTAATATTACAACATCTAACAGAATGCATCAGCTCTTGCAAGACCATACAAAGTAACACAGAATTAAACTATTACAGGCGACTCTGAAAGCAGTGCATTATTCAGGAAAGACATATTACACAAACTCATGTGTGCAGAGTAGGTATTATGTACTGCCAGCTTAATTTTAATTTACAGTTCTCTAGCACCTACACTGACAAGATTTTGTCGGTTATGTTGTAGCAAGAAGTAGAGCATCAACAAGGAAGTCAATGGGTGAAGACAATGGGTGAAGACCTTGCAGCTGTTGTTTTTGGTTTGATGTTCAATGTAGCAACATTTCCACTAACATAATACACCATCACTTAACACTGCCAAAAAGACCACAAGGTAGTTTATTTTGCATGAATATTTTATTGGTCTGAACACGCTACAGATAAAGTACTACTTCATACATGTTTTAAGGACTGAGGTTTCACAGCTGTGCTTTTCATAAACATAATATTCCTGAAAATAAATATTCCAATGGAAGTATTCTATTTGAATCATGTTAAAATTTATGGTCTACAGTGACGTCTTTCTCTTAAAGAGGCTTCCAAAGCTTCTGCAGTGAGCTCAGCAGATTCTACCCACGGGCCCAGAGCTCTGCAAGCTTACCTGCCACAATCTGAGCTGGCAGTTGTGACGCACAATGGGATGTGTCTGGAAGGGCATGAAAATTTCATCTGAGAAGGGGGCACTGAAGTGGAAGTCTTTCGCCAGGGCAAATGTCAGAAAACATTTAAAGTAAAACGAAATGGTGTATTCTATTCTGAGTAACTCTAGAAAAATACTAAGCCCAGTGATGCTTTTCCATTTACATTCTTTTTACAAACTAATAAGGACTTTTGTATAAGATGTTATAGATCACAAATCAGGAAAACTACAGTACTGGCACTATTCTTGTATAAAGAGAGCCCAATAGCGTTTTTTCAATCTGGAACTTGATTATACATTCTATGAGAGTACTGCAGTTATAAAATTCATAAGACATTGCCATTAAGACAGTTTTGAGTTTTGACAATAGAGATTTTCTCAGCACAGTAAAGTGGGATAAGGAGACTGAAGACACAGAAACAGAGGTGTATACAGTAGCTTTGACTGTATAGCTAAAGTGGAATTCTAGGTCTTGGTCACTTAAAACAATCCTCTGGAAGAACAATACCAAAAAATGCCACGACTGAGAAGGAAGACTATTTTCACCGTCAGTAGTGTCTCCATATCTAAATAATTCGGATTATCTTAATGACAGGGATACTTGCTCAAGGAGGTTCCATTCTCTCGCTCTACCTCAAATAACAGGAGAACCAGAGAGGGACAAAAATGCAGTCAACGGACACAAACGGGGAAATAAATCTCTTTTGGAAAGTTGTTCTTTGCCCTGTTGTAACTAAGAAAGCCAATGTATCTTTTTTTGATATGTGAAACTATAATAGTTTTGGTTTATACTTGTATTTTAAATAAACTTGAACCACTTTATCCACTTTTTTTTAGTTGCATGTTTACATGGTGAAAGCTATCTGTAAAACATATCAATGATCCCATTTAAGGTATAGTGTCTTTTTAGTGAAAGGGCCTTAACAGAAATGTCAAGAATTTCCTCTTCCACATTCGTATTTGAAAACGTTGAATAGTGTTTGATTGTGCTTTGGCTATTTTAAATACACAAATTTGCTGCAGATATCCATGATGATTTGACTATGGATAGTGGCTACTGATGCGTATTAAATATCACTTTGTATAGAACTGTCAGCCTCCAGGGTTTTTTCTGACACTATAATTATAACAAAAGAAAATCCATTCCCTCACATTTGCCGTCAACACAGGTTTAGTTTCTTTGACATGACTATTTTGCTTTCCTGAAGAAACAACTGTCCGCTACAGAACTGGTCTTGTGGAACTGGTCCAGTGAGTCATTCATTTACTCACAGGTACTGCTTACTTAGTAATGAAAAGAGAAACAATACAAACCTGTCATAACCCAACAAGTATGACTAATACTGTATATATATATAAAAACAAATGCTCCTAGTTCTTCACTGGAGCGTATTGTTTCTGCAGTTGCTCTTAAAATCTGCTTTCAAATCATACCATACTATCCGAGAAGGATATTGGTACACTTATTCTCTGTTAAACTTCATAACTGAGAATTTGGCAGAAACTTAAGAAACATGGAATCAATACTAAAATCTGACGAGTATGGTTTGTCAAGAGACAGACAAATAGTATAGATTTTAGGCAATGCATTTAAAATAAAACTAAAGATTGGTAGCCAAGATACTTAACAATTACAATATTTGTATTGTGTGTTTGGCTGAGATACTGGGATGTTATGTCATTGTGAAGACATACAATTGTGTCCTGTTTGCCATGAAAGCAGAGGATGACTAATGAATAGGCTTTTATAAACTTTATACTGCAGTCATTTGCAAAGGAAAAAGTGCTAAAATTTCTCAGGGACATGTGAATACTTTTGTGAATCCTTGAGGAGTGCCCCACAAAGATTCTACATGCTTATCTGTAGATGTTTTTCTTCATCTTTGTGAAATTACACAGGCAAGCAATAAGCAAAAATGAATCCTTGTTAGCAGAATGTAAAACCTTCAGTAACCTGTTCATTACATTTACACAGTGCTGAGCAGACCTCAGTTCCCACCTAGTCAAGTGTGTCTTATTGCTGTTTTTAATGTGCACAACGTATTTGATCCAAGGTGGTGTTAAATGGTGTACTAACAAGGTGACCTAAAGGAGTCCACTTACAGGATTACTATTTTGTTCATGCCATTATATATTCCCAAGGATCTAAATTGTTTAAAATAAGGTCATACTTTCCATTAAGAATACACTTACAGTGCATTGAAACTTTTAACTCTATTCTGTGGAATTCTCCATGATAAGCCATAGTCCAAAAAGACATACCCTGTAGAACATTCCATACCCTAAAGATGCTAATGCTATTACATGGCATAAAGTCACTGTAAAAAGGAGACATTTATATACATTGATTAACCTAGGTGCTGTGTCTGAGAGATGTGAGAAACCCATTAGGCCTTTGGGGGAGAACATGGAAAATGCACACAGAAGGCTCTCCAGTTCAAAGTTGAACCCATTACTTACTAGCTGTGGGGGTGCAGACCTAACTGCCACACCTCTGTTGTACCCAAACCATTGCAAGGATATTTTAGGTAGTACATTTCTGCCACACCCAGTGTACTGAATCCTGACAGTTCTCTTTATGAGAAGTGTCCTCACAATCAGAAAGCATCTCTGTAAGCAACAGCCAGCTGAGTAAACTGCAGGGACTGATAGTGTATAATTTACAGCGTGGTGCATTTGCTCAGGCAGTTTGTCTTGTGTTTCCTGAATGACATTTTAAAATTAAACTATTTTCTGCCGCTGCAAGCATGAGAAGATGCTCTATCATTTATAGCATACAGCAGGAGAAAGCTACAGTACCTGAAAAGAAAGCTGAAGGCATTAGGGGTGTGGGAGTGTGAGGAAATATCAGACAAGACTTTTCTTTTAGGACGTGGAGAGGTGGTCTCAACCTTTCTTTACCTGAAAGTTAATTTAGTTCCCTTACTTTAGAAGACTGAGGGTCACAACCTGAAATATGTAGGACAAACATGGGAAGAAATAAATACATTTATGAGTCCATTGTTAAAATTCACTCCATGGTATATAAAAGCTCCTATTTATATACTATATTATATTCTTGCTCAAAGGTACTACTTATCTGAATGCAATGTATTTTACTGAACAGCATAACGTGTTATAATACAACATGTTTAACAAACTTTCCTGAATACTAACGTTATTTTCTAACAGGTCTGAAAACCTGTAACCATCAAGTTTATGATGGTTAAGTTCACATATATTGCTGTTAATTCATGGTGGTTTCATTTAGTACTGCACTATGATATTAATGTTGCAAAGTGTTACATTGAATGTTGTTTGTGAGGATGTATAAAAAAGTAGTCAAAGGACAAAGACACTGCATACCGTATACTCCCATCATGCAAAAATATCCGAGTTAGAATTTAATTTCTCATACTAAATTATCGTATAACCGTTCGAGAGCGCAACACCTGGAGTCCTTAAGTCCTGAAAACTGACAAAAACATCCGACGCCTATGCTATATACAGTATAGGCTAACCTATAAACATCTCAAACCATTAACCATATGCCTAGTTGCTATACATGACTTTTAAAGAGATGTATTGCCTACGGGTGACATTGTACACAGACAAAAACAAACGCTTATTAAAATAAGTAACACAGGGATCAAGGTAAACGTGCATTTACTTAAGCATTTCCAGTATACCTCATCATAAGATTAAAAAAAAAACACTACAACCAAGAAGACAATACATAAATTTTAAATTACCAACCTTTTCCTTATAGGTCGTCTACTTTTCTTCACTTTGACTTAACGCACCGATAATAAAAGTCACAGCTGATGAATCGCATGCAGCAGGCGTTTCAAGAACTTCAAAACTGTGTTTGTACTCTTATTGTAACAGATCGTCTAGCGTCCGGACACTTCTTAATTCTAGTCCCAGAGTGAGTTGCTGTCGCCATAGTTCAATACTCAAGTCTTTCTTCCAATCACCTGTCATGTGATTACAGAGGCGTGCCAGGGCCAGCACAGTACAATACACATGCTGCTGCAATGGAGCGCTAACGCACTTGTGTGGTCCGGGGTTAAAGACTACGCGCTTGCTGCAGTTTACTGCGCTCCAGAAAGAAAGCACAGCTGGGTAGCACTGACAAACCGTACTATAAGGCAAACCCATTAAATAAGTCTTCCTCAGTTTCTTACACTATAGAAAATGTTTTTCTTTGCTGATTTGCAAAACATATTTTATTTTCGTCATCACTGGCATTTACGCTTCACCCAGCAATGCAAAAAGTGAGCATGGATGTCTTGAAAATGTTGAGTTTTACATCGGGATGATTCAAATGAGTCTGAAATGACAAAAAGGTCTACATTGTCTAAATACCACGAAGAGAAATATTTGTGGGAACACTACGGTGCCACCTGGTGATTAAACCACTTGATAATATATTTATAATTGAACACATGGATTACAATAGCATTTCGGGCTAATTATATATGTATGTAATCGAAAAGTAAATAAATGAAGAATAGTATTATTGTTGTTCAATATGTACAGAAAAAGTCTAAACAGTCAAGCAAGTAATGCAAAATGTCCCATTGAAGACCTTCGTATACTGTATGTGCGTTTTTAGTAATGATGGAGAAAATTCTTAAAGATACATTAAAATTTAACGTTTAAAGTATTAAAAAAGCTTTATTTGGTGTAGTAGTGATTTTCTATTAATTTAATTAGTTTTATGGTGTTAATTATATGGTAACAACGATTCAATAATAATTTTACAGGAATGTTACTAATGCTTTGATTCAAATAAGAGCTACAGTACAGTATATATGAAGTTAGTTCAGGGCATTCCTAAACTCAACGTAGCAAAACTTGGACATGAGTAGCAGCTGGGAACAGGAAACGCTCCTTTTTACGCGTAGATGCGAATATCTAAGCAACCTTCCTAATCTTGTAGCCGAAAGTTCAAACTCTGGGCGCGTTTTAAAAAATCGATTGAAGACGTTATGAATTCAGATCATAACCTAGGAAACGAACACGATTAGCTGGACTTTAACTGAATGTCAAACAAATAAGTGATATCTGTTCTAATTAGACTTTTTTTCTGAAGTTCCCAACAATAAAGGAGCAACACCTTCAGCATCTTTCTTGTTGATGGTCGCATTGTCGTTAAAGTCAAATGTTTCTATGCAGGATACGAACATCGATAATACTCTTTTCCCTCATTTTCATCTTCCTGATTCCTGGTTTTAGTCTTGGTCCAAGTGGTCTATTATGTGGTGTCTGTTGATTTCTTTTTTAAACATGGGATAAACATGGGCAGCTGATGTTTTATAACCGTCCTGCTCCCTCCAGTGGTAGAAATAGTTTTGGCTGGTAACCCGAGCTCAAGGATGCAATAGTACAGTAGGTCACATTCCTGCACAGTTTTCTACTATGGAGGTAACTGTTACTGTAACTACATTTAAAATAAACTTTTCAAACATGATAAACAGTACAAAACAATAACCAAAACTCCTTAAATAAAACAGACGCGCTAGATTGTTTCTACATAATTTTTTAAAACTCAAAATTAGCTATTCAGTGAATCGTAGATTAGATTCATAACCATTTGTGAAACATAATGTCTGAATCTTTGTTTCTTTGTTGAAAAGAAGTCACTTAGTGATTCTTTGCACCAGAGTATATTTAACTGAAAAGTCAGTATTTATTAATCTTTTATTGTTATTTTACATAACTATTAATTAGTGGGCTCTTTTGAGACATGACGCACCGTAAACGTGTTCCTTGCGCGTTTAATTGAGAACGTTCTTCTGATCGTAGCATGCTAGAACATTTCCTGGTGTTTTATTGACAATTAGATGCTTTTAAACTTCAATACCTGTAGTGAAACAGATGGATGCCACTTGCGCGAACAGTAGCTGTGGAACATTAATGAAATCTTCAGGCTCTGTAAGTGGCAATTTTCAAACAGCTCTAAACATTGTCTGAAACACTAGCACTGTAATATACAGTGCTGCCCGGATTACTGTATGTAGTGTACAACTAACAACAAGGGCTTAATAATTTTGCTGCCACCATAGCCTAGCAATATCCTCGAAATGGTATCAAAATGACCATCGGTAACAGCCACCTGCATGTGCAGAATATTGCGCTGTTTCACCTGGTTGGTGCTGCGCTTCGATACCGGAGGACATTAGTTCTCTCCTGTGTGTGAAGTGCTTTGAGAAACCATTGGAATAAAAAACGCTTTGCAAATGCAATGTACTAGTATTGTTATTGATCAAAAACGTCTTTATTAAGATGTATGATTTTCAGTCATCATAAGTACAGTACACATTTAAAGAGCAAGTAGCATAGCTCGAAAAATACAGCGTTATACTTTGCTGCATGTTGCTACAACTGCAATTTGCAACTAGAAAGTAGCCTTAATACGTGTAGAACTTACTTTTTCAATCCCAATTTGCTTGACATGAAAGCATGGCTGTGTTTTCGATGTCCTATGACTTCACTTGTCGCAGCTGGATAACTGCAAAGTGGCGCCGCTACTTTACTGGAGTCTGAAGAACTGCATTTGTTACAGATCTGCTGTACATGATTACTCGAAACTTCATGCAGTGCTTTGAAAATTTTCAGATGTGAACCACGATAAAAAAAGATTTACAGTTACAGTATGTTTCTTAAACCGCTGTAACAACCTGTGGGGTTGTATACAGTAGATCTTATTTTTGGCAGTTCGCCATTTGCTCGTTCAAGTTCACAATACTACTACATGCTAAAAATAAGTTTATGTTAATATTCAGCTTTCCCCGCCTCGTATCTAGACTTTAAATACATAATAGAAGCAAAGCCTGCTTTGCTTTTTAATTAGTGCCTCTTGTAACTGCAATTACATATTTGCAAAATGGAATTAGATTTGAAGAGAGCATGCAGCATAACTTTTACGCGATAAGCTTGCAAATATCTGCCTGCAAATCCGTGCTTTGAGTTATATCGATCCTAAAGATCCTTCGTTTTTTTGCTTCGTAACTAATCTGTAAATGGTCTGGTATCCATCATCCCACGAGTAAATCTGCTTTTCCTTTGGGTTATAATGCATAACAGAGTGACTTCCATAACGCTTAGGGAAATATAAGATCTGGCTCTCCTCATTGCTTATCATATCATGAATATCGTACAAACACTGTATTCTCGATCTTCCCCCATAACGCGAATTGTAGACTACATACAAGGTACCGCATATTAAGAAAGCTGCTTCCGCGTCTTCGCTGCTACAGCTGGTATCCCAACTATGTTCTACAGAAAGACTTCCTCTGTCTATTTTAGTGATCACTATTTTACGACCAGTGTCTGGATCAGCATGAATAGACCACAATCCCAGCTCATCAATAGCCAAATCGATAAATGTGAATGGGGAAAGCTGATAAACTGGCACTCTGCCTGCCCCCGGCAATAACATGCTGTCAGTCACAGTTCTGTTGCGTATGTGGAATTTTATGATCTCATTTAAACTGCCACTCTTGTGAAAATACAGGAAACCATTGTACACTACATGCCCAGTTCCCTGCCAAGGGAATGGTAGAGTTACATTCCTTGCTACTTGGGTGAAGTTGCTTTCAGTAAATTCTTTAATGTTGGGAAATTCTAATAGAGTAGTATTTTTGGTCCCGCTGAAAAAATAAATTTTCGGAGAAGATTTGCTCGGGTCTTTCATCCATGAACCATGAACGTCTCCTGCTTTTTTCACAATCTTTATAGACTTTATACTTGTTAGCATGGCATCACAATCTGTAAAGATAAAATAGGCTTATTAGTGTATTGTTTTGTAACCCAGCGAGCTGTATTTTTTAAAAAAGAAAACACCCATTTATCACTGATAGAACAGACTGTTTTACATAATTTTATTCAGCACACAAAACTGATAAAGAACAGAGGGACTTGTTACTGGTCATTTGTATGAATATAAAATATTTCGTTTTTTTCCTTCATTGATACAACTTGTACAAAAAGGCCTAAAGCTTGTAGTACTTAAGGTGGGCATGTTTCTCTGCTGTTTTTCCTTACCTGTCCCCAGCTTGAGCTTGTCTGCCTTCTTGCCTTGTGCCTTTTTTACCTGCTGTTCCAGCAACCTGTCGTCTATCTCTACACATGGCTGCACAGGGCTCCGATTCTCCAGGTAATCGATGTCATGCTCGATTCTCTCCACTCTGGACACCACACTCTCCACTTCGCTCCTGAACTCTGTTCTGTAAACACCCAGGCCATCCAAACGAGCCCGCATTTCTTTCGAGAAGGCATACAGCTCCTGGACATACTTCATGATGTCTTGATCACATTTTATCAGCCTGTCCTGTTAAAGGGACATAAACACAGGGCTCACGAAAAGATCCCGTAATGTAGCATGTTTGCAGACAAACCCAGACACAAACACATGAATAAATATCTTATATTCAATGCACTAAGTTTAGAATGATTTTCCAGAAAAAACAATAAATTCAGTGTTGAGATTCCCATGAAAACACAAGCTCTGCAAAAGCAAGAAAGATATGTGTGAGAGTGTATTTAAAAAAAATGATTCAAGATGAAAAGATGAATCATTTAAATAAAACTTGAAAGCCTGCCACAGACATTGTGAAAAACAAAATCTATGTTTCCAGGGAGAGCATTCCCAGAAAACAACCCTGAATATGCTGAAGTTGTTGCAGCTCATAAGTTGTGCAGGGTGAAAACCCGTTTCTAAACAAACTATTTTTAACGTGCGTGTCATTATAAACATATGGTTGGTAACACCTTATGTTAAGCACCGTATATTAAGACTTTCTGAGGTTTTCAATTTTTTCCTCCTAACCAGCATAAAGTAAAAATGTTAAGAGCTACACATCACTCAAAAAACATATCTAATTTTCTTCACCTCATTTATTAATATCAATCCATCTATTTCATTGAAATACGTATTTCACAAGTTAAATTATATCCTTACCTCAAGCATTGCAATTCTGCTTTCAAAGTACTGCATAATGATAATATCTTGAGTGATCCTCTGTGCATTTCCAATCACCTGAATCAAAAGCACAACTATGAAAACTTTTAAATAACAATAATGCATGACTGAGGTTTAATCCAAGCAAAAAAAAAAATCCCTTGAAGTTAAAGATTGTTTGATTCACAAGTCGCCTAAAACATGCTTGAAGTTTCACATTAAATGTGATTTTGTTGGTGACTACTTCGCTTGCATAAATCTGTAGACAGCAGGCAACTTATTTACTCCATAACCCTTCCCTTTTGCAGTACATTTAAATAATCCACGTGAAAGGCATTTTTCCACAGGCTGAAGTATCGTTCCAGATGGTAATCTAGTCCAGATGTGTTGTGTCATCTAAACTTGCAAGCCCTTTCACAAAAAGGAATATTTTCTGTGATTATTTGTATGCACAGAAAGATTTTGGAGAAATATGAGGTTGCAAATATGTAGAAAGACAAAATGGCTGCACAAAATATTCATTTAGCCCCAGGTTAGCTGACTGGTGAGCTATTCAGCATTTTCAAACTGACCACAAGTTGATTTTGGAGAAGGATGAGAACTTTTTGAACATTTTTTCATAACGTCTACAAACAACTTGCAGAATGAGCTGATTATTTCGTCTTTTTTCCTAACTGCACAAAAAATTGTACTGTTATGGTGCTCTTACCATTCCATAAATTGACTTGCCAAGATAATTAAAAGATGTATCTTCGTGCTGAAAGAAAAAAATACAAAATGTTGTTCACCTTGGTAGGAGTCACAGACGTCAGTTAATGCTTTTGGAAAATTTGCACAATTTGTAAAAACCTTTTACAAACATGTTTGCATGCTAAAGGATTCTAAATGGTTTTATTACTTGCTCTGTGAATGAGATCTGGAAACAAGGTGTTTTTTACTGTGGCATAATTTGAAAAATGGTTGGAAATTGTTCCATGGCTAACTGTCAGGTTTTTAATCCTGCTCCCCTGACAGTTAATAATAATAATAATGTTTCTTTATTAGCCCTATACAATTTCTTGCATTAGGAATTTGTCTTAAGGGGTTAAGGGCCTTGCTCAGGGGCCCAACGGAGTAGGATTCTTCTGCCAGCCACAGGATTTGAACCGGCAACCTTCCAGTCACAGGCGCAGATCCTTAACCACAGAGCCACCGCTCCCCTAGTTAATGAGTTAATGAACTTCAGTTGACTTATTGTGAGTCAATATTACTATATAACTATCAAATAACGGTATAACATTAGAATTTGACCGTTCTAGGGTTCTAACTGTCCCTATAATCATAAAAGCGTAATAAGCCCATTCCACATTGAGTTTTTACGGTGAAGTCTCTGTTCCTTGAGGATGACAGACTACATCAACAGGGCTTGGGATCTGGGAGAATGATAAAAACTGTTGTAAAAATTAAGCAAATCATCCTTTTAGATTGGCTGTGAAGTTCTCTGGTAGAACAAAAAGTAGGATACCTTTCTTCTCTAGAAGGCTTCAGCTGTGCGCAATTTAAATAAAAAAACAACTAGTATGTAACACAGTTCACTTAACAGTAGTTTGAAATGTGAAATAGCTAATGGAAAAAACATTGTACAGATAATGGTGAAACCTATGACAAAGCAAAACCTAATTCTTTGAGTTCCAGAATGTACTGTAAGTATCATTTCTTAATATTTTTTGGAAAAGAGCAGAGGTTAATTCCATGTAAAAAAAAAAAAGTTTTGACTGTAGAGCCCTCATTTGTGTTATCAAGTTTTATTACCATAATTTTAAGAGTTTTCTACAAAAAAACGAGAAGGGTTAAATGTTATCTGCTTCTGTGATTACTGTATGAGCATTTATGGATGTGATTGTATGCATTTGGGTTCATTATCTTTCTTTGAGCAGCTAATTTTATTTTTTTGACCCTGGTAGTGTGTTATTGCCACTTAAAGAATGTCTTTTAAAAAAAATATTTCTAAATCTTTTTGGTTTAACTCACCAGCTGGTTCATAGTCAATAATGAAAATGTTAAGTGTGTAAATTAAGGGTTGTATTGCAATCTGTAAGGCTTTTTTATCAGGTTCACAAAGTTTCTGTGCCAGTGAATAATGGTCTGTTTTCCTAGAAACAAATAAGCAAAAAGATTTTCTCATCCAGGGTTTTAAGGCTTCCTGCTTGAATGGTTTTAGAGCAGGTGCATTTCTTAATCTAAATAATATTTTTAGACATTTTAAGATAGAATATAACTGTTTTTTAAGGTCAAGTTTACTTTTATTGATGTTGATATTGCCCAGACATTGCAACACAGGCTAACAACACTTACTGTAGACTGATTTAGATTTTTAATTTTGAATAATCATTGAAGGCAGTTTTATGCTGACTGAACTAATCAGTACTGCAATTAAAATAGTGTTTTCAGAATCAGCTGTATTAGTAACTAAAATGGATAACCTCCAATTTAATTTACTCTGTAGCAGTGCTGTAGTTTTAAATAAACCACAGTCTACTGATTTGTCTTAAGGCAGTAACTTCTCTTCATCTTCAGAAAAATAATTTTTAAACCTTTGGGATGCAAGAATATTATTGCTGCCTCTTGTATACTGTTGTGCATTCTAATTGCAATACTGATTTGTGTATTATAGAGAACAAATGGAAAATTATGTAAGAAGTTGAAAATTATATGCTTAACTGCTTCTAATTCAATTATTTTCATTCCTATTTCTAATTCAGATCAATTATGTATATTGATGTATTATGGAATTGGGAGAAAATTCAATATAAATTGAATAATATACATGTAAGTCTCCTTGTTCATGTGGGATTCATAACGGATTTAAAACCCTGAGGTTCCCGGAAGGTTTAAAATTAAATATTATAACAGAGCACAGGCAGGAGCAAACTTTTCTGTGGAACAAAACAAACAACACTTCCTTTCAGTTGTCTGAGTGAACGTTGCTCACTAAGCCATTTAAATAATAATAAATTATAAATTATTTTTTGTCTGTGGCCAAATTAAGTAGTTCTGCAGTGATATACTGTACAGTACCAAAATGGTTGATACAGGATAGTAACACTTCACCTGATGGCCTCAGAGGGGCAGTCTAGGAAAGTATAGAGACACCAGTCAGGGCTAATACAGAATACCAATGTTAGTAGCCTTCCAATATTACTGACAAGTAGTACAGAAACCTAAAACCACTATAGCAGGGTTTTAGAGAACTCGCATTCAGTTAGTCTTACACTGTAGGTCACCCGTAATTGGTAAATAAAGCAAGGAGTCAGTTCAATTAAGCAGATATCTGGTCCTTGTGGGAGTTTATATGGATTTTGGGTTCCATATGATGCCTAAATTAATGTAAACTATAGAACTTGCTTCATAGGACCTATCCAGGACCAGGGTTGGAATTACTTGACTTAAATTGCAGTTAATCCCGAATTATCTAATGCTAATTGTTTATCATGGTCAATAAAACCATCCCCATAATGTGGATGTTCACCAACATTTTCTGAAACATATTGTAAAAAAAGTTATTTCTAATCCTCTAATACTCTTTCCTCCAGTACTGATACTATAGATTGTTGATGAACACGTCCTCCGTATCTGTTATTGCTCTTTTCTAAGAGTTGTATTTTTTCTGTTAAAAAGCTATAGTCTTAATAGTTAATATTCTAAATAAAAACACTATACCAAAAAGCCAAGTAAATCCTTAATTTAAACAGTTATTTGGAATTTAGGGTTATAAATATTTAAACTACTCTTATTAATGTGTGTTACGTTTTCACTCTAGTGAGTTGGAATGTGGTTTCCAGAGTTAACGAAGTTCAGGCAAATGGATGCCAATATTTAAAGATGCTGCATTATGACGTGGTATTCAATCAGAAATCAATGTAGTCTAACATGCTGCATCATCGTGTAATCTAAATCAACAAACTAACAAATAAGAGTGTTGTAAATTAATGAAATCCCATTGAAGGTTCCAGTTGCGTTTTGGAACGTGCCTACATGTAAACTGCTGTTCAATACAGCATGTGCTATATTGAGGATAGTTATGGAAACAAATGGAAGAACTAGGCATTTAATGCAAACTATTAGTAGCAAGGAACTTTCAATGTATATTGCATATACAATGAGTTGTCATAGGAAATATCCAAAGACTAATTTATTGCTTATTAAATTATTTGGAAGGAACCCTTTACTGTATACTAAGTGAACTTCCCAAGCCCCTTTATCAAAGAAGGCCTTTGAAATGATGTTCCTAATACACTAGAAAACTTCACCCAAGTTGCTTGGCTGTTGTTACTGAATCCATGTAAATCCATATGGTCTCAAATGTTTGTGTGAGGACTTTGTGCAGATGGAGACTTCTTTGCTAGTGTTCCTTTACAATCCAAAAATTTTTTTCACCACTGAACATTTGAAGTTATCGTCATGGGGAAGGTTGAATCTCTGCACTACATAGTGTAATTATTTCTGCATTTTTCTTATTTCTTACTTTGGTACATCATTTGTACATGATGCATAACAAGACTGTATATTGCAGGTTTCTATGTTTTTTATTCTAACGTAAGAGAACTGTGTGTACCAATGTATAAACCTTTTCAACAAAAAAATCAATAAAATAATAAAAGACTCAGACAATAAAAGTCTGAGTGCAGATCTCCAGAAAAGAGAACACTTTAGCTTTTGCCAGAAGAGCACAAAGGAGAGATGTATCTATGGGTATTTAAACAGATCTTTTGAGCACGTTCATGAAAATAAGAGGAGCTACAAACGTAATATGTGATTGTGACGAAACGGAAATATAAAAGTAATATGGCCATACTCAGTGTTCAAGTTGATCTCTAAGACTGTAATGCCTAGTTACACTTTCTGTGCTCAATGGTTTATACATATGATTTTGGCTTGGTTCAAGGTGTAATTATGTTTGATCTAATAAGTTATATAGGGTATATCCTACTTAAAAGTGTTATCTAGAAAGCAATGCCCTATGTTTTTTAAAAAGTTAATTCCCTCAGGAAAACCATGAAACGTTCTGTAGTGAAAGATTTTGCCTTCCATTTTTTTGTTTCAAGAGTTCAGCGATTTATATCCGGTGCATTTCACAAATACATACAGCTGCAAATTCAAATTCTTAATACATTTTTAACATAAAATACATTTGGCAATACTTCTTGGGTGATACTTTTACATGTAATCTTGATGCTTGAGCTTTTTGGGGAAGATGGGATTTTAGAAGAACATACATGAAAAAAAAGTAATCTTAACCAGTTGACAGATTCCCTGCAGGGCTTTATGAAGATCAGTATAAAACAAGGATACAGACATGGTTTCTTACTCCTGTGTCATTGATTTATTGCGGTTTTATACAGTTAATTAGAATTTTACAGCAAGCTGGAATGGCTGAAACAGTTGGCCTTTGAATTTTTCTGCTTTGGACTTTGTGCAGTCATAAAAATGGTGTAATAA